GTTAGGCACCGCTCACGGAAATCGAACGACTGAGGTCCTCGATCGATTCGTGTCAGGACACCCGTGTGTTTGTCGACCCTACGGCTGGCTAACTTATTCCTTTGTTTCAGGGAGGCTGCGGTTCCGTCTGAGAGAAGACCCCCGACAATAATAATCGCACGTGAGCACCGCAGCGGGATATTGCTAAAAGCCCTTTCCACTGCGGAGCGAAGTTGGGAGGTACTCGCCAAAGCCTTGGTTTTGCTTTTGTTGAGCTTGCAGCCTGTGCATTTGCCGAACTCCTCGCGCTCGGCCAGGGCCAGCTTCCCGTTATCGAGAACCTCATCCATGTCAAAGCCTCGCGCATTAATTGATGAGTCATCGACGAACCCCGCAGTGCTACATCTGGTCTTTTTCCGCAGTGGATCTCGACCATACTGCCATCAGCGCTGAGGATACCTGTATGCTACAATTCGGTCCTTGGGCGTAACCTCCCGCACGTGTACGCGAAGTCTGCTCCACGGCCCTGCCTAACTTGAAACGATGCCTGGCCGTGGCTCGCAGGCGCGCCTCCGCAGCAACGTATCCGCGAACAAACGCTGTGGTATCTTGGTGGTCCATGTGAGCTTCCAGTAGACGGCCGCCGATAGATCTATGGAGTTGGTCGAAGAATTTCTCCCAGTCTATGCTCAACGTCAGCGAATGATGACCCAAGGGCCTGGCCAACTCGGTCTCGACAGAGTGATTCATCGAGACCTCCTGGGCTTCGTGACCTGCACGCGCTCCATGCATGGATGCTGGTAACCAGGATTCCCTCCAGCTCTCAGTGTTTCGCCATCTTGCTTTCTCCCAGCATGTTATGAGAGGCGTATAATTATTGATGATCCTTGTCTTGGCTGCGACAGGAAGAAGAACATCTTCTTCTCCGTTATCATCTGCTTCAGGGATATCGGTCTTGCGCAAAGCGCTAGCATATACCTCCAACAGTGGATCTGGCCAATCCCCTCCAGCTTCGATGTACCGAAAGACATCGCAAAAGAGAGCCGTGATCCGTTTGGGTAACGCTTTGAGCTCACGTACTCGAAATCCGCAGCCAGCCACTGCACGAGCTGAGTTCAATTCTTGAACAGCTTCGTGGTAATCGTCAGGATCGAGTTCTTCTAATTCGCACGGCTTCTTCTGAATGAGATGTTGGTACCTGGCATGGAACTTGTCCCACGTGATAGACGGGTCGCTCTTATTGAAAATCGGGTCCCACGTCTTGCGTAGTTCATCCAGGACATCATCAGGTCAGATGGCATAATGTTTTCCGTGGTTGGAAACCGTGTTCTCCGTGGGTGCTTCCACTCTGATTGCCGTGATGGGCTCATCTCGTGGCGGTCGCATATGGTTCTTAAGTGCTGCACGGTCGGCCTTCGAAGCTGTCGTAGTCGTCGCGGCAAAGAGTCGAGCCCGCCATGCTTGTAGTCTCGTTTTCAGTCGATGTCGATCGTACAGGTCGATCTGGTCTTCAATCACCTTCTGCAGAGCTTGACATTGCCGCAAATCAGATACTGCTACATCGAAGAAATCTGTGGTGAGTCTCATCCTGGTAAGGTCGTCCACCAAATTAGCCCATATCCCCATAAGTGCGTCCCAGATCTCGGTCGTCGGGGCCGGGTGCATGCTGTACTTGATAATCATTTCGCGGACCCGTCGGAGATTCTTGTACAAGCGTGCCGTCCGATAAGTCCAAGGATCTTGGGGTTTGGCTGCAGATGCTGCCCGACACGCCAAGGGTTCCTGAACCAAGGTGAGCTCTTGACATCGTCCTCGAGTACCCTGGATCTTGGGACCTGCTGTACTGCATCTTTCTTCGAGATAGTCTTCAGCGATCAAAGTGGCCACTTCCAGCATACGTGTGGGGTTCTTCAAATCTCTCGCTTCCTTCAAATGACTTTCACTTCGCTGAAAGATCTTATCCGATAAACATTCATGTTGGTCGTCGTCCAAAGAGGGTACCTGATCAACAGGAAAGACTGTAGGCATCTTAGGAACCCAACGCACCAAGTCCAGGGGCTCGGTGGTCAGCGTGATTTTTTAAGGGGGGTGTCCAGGGATACGGGTATCTCTCAAGAGCGTATATGAAATAATCAAGGTCGCCGCTTCCAGATTTGCAAATATCCGATCGGGCCTTGTGACATAAGGCCCTGGGCTCACCTTGTCCCAATCCTGCTTCCCGCCATAAGTCGGCTCAGGGCCCGCTAGTGACGAAAATCTCCTACCGAGATCGACCCGCCGTCCTGTAGCCACAGCGTCGCGGATGACAATGTTCTGGTCCGTCATGTTAGTATCGCAACAAATTAACGTTGGCTGGGCACCACAGGTAGTGCCGTTCGTAAAGACGTCGTCCATCATTCGTTCCTTACGCACCCGAGCTGCTGGACTATGGCCTGCATCGTTGTAGAAGGTAATGATGTGCATGAAGAACCTAGCCCTAGTCTGAAGGGGGGCCGCAACCTGATGTATTCGACAGTGCTCAAAGACCCGCCTAGCTTCGACCGTCTTTGCCGTACAAGCTTGGGCGGATAAAGATTTGTGAATGAGAAAGCCAACACCTCCGTGCGCGCTCGGGTTGTCGAGGGTCGTGCTGGTGTTGGGTCTGATCTGCTGGATCGGGGGAGGCTTGCCACCCAGGAAGTCGAAGTCTTTGCGTGCTGCCTGCGCCACTGCCCGAGCATGAGTAATGGGCGTCAACCGTGTCTCTTGGAGGGCCACAGTATCCGCTTTTTCACTTTTTAGTAAACCGAATATGGTACCTTGATGTTTTTTTTCCAACTCGTGACATTGACGGAAATAAGCGTAAGCTTCGTCATGGTGATCATCTTCGTGGTCTTTTTGATTGGCCATCTCTACGGCCTCGCTGCCTTGCCTGAGTGAGCTGATCTGCGAGCTGCTTCTTCACCTCCGCGATGGATGCCATTTCAGCCAGCGTACTTGCCTTCAGCGCGATCACCTCTTGCATCGACGCCTGCAGCGAAGAAAGCCCTCCACCGCGGGCCTCCAGGGAAGTGTCTACTGCTGCTACCAAGGCGGGGGGCTGGGGTGCTTCTCCTCCTCCTCCTCCACTTGTTGCTGCTTGGTCCTGCTGTCTCATCGTAGGTGTTCGCCGAAGTGGTTGATAGAAGGAACCATTCTTCTACTCCAAGACCGAGTAAGCGAACTGCTGCATATTTGTCGTCGCCAGTGCTGCACCTTTGCCCGTGATGGAGCTGGCCGCCTTTTCTTTCGTACAACCTTTGAGGAAGGCCTCGGGCGCATCCATGGGCTCGTCGTGCGTGGCCCCCTCCCCCTCCTTCGTGATAGTTACCAGGATGTTCCCAGGGGAGAAAGTGTCCGACGTGGGTGATTGATGTGCTCGTACTTCGAATCGTTTGTGTTTACCTCGTCGCGTAGCCGCCGGGCATTGCACTGCCCACCAAAGTGTCCATCAACATCTTGGGTATAGCCTGCAAAGGATACGAAGCTGGAACCTTATCTAATAAAAATCTTGTGACTGGCGGCGGCTCTTTCTCTCGAATAAGTCCCCATCCTTCTGCTTTATCTCTTTTTGCCAACCGTAGGCGGAATCTTACTCCATCACGATTGAGGCGTAAACCATACGTGTCAACCTCGATCTTGTCCAGTTCTTCTCTGCCCTCGTCCACCGTGTAGTATCCTGAACTCTTCGCTGCAAGTGGGGGCCGCGTCTCATCCTGCCGATCCTTCATTTTTCGCGCATCGTCATAACCACAGGCGTCCGTGAACAAACCATATTTTCCGGAGTGCCTACGAAGAGAATCTCGTGCAGCCCCCGTCGTCGTGATATCTACCCGCAGTGTCCTCGCTGTCTTGATTTCGCCTTCGAACTGCTTGATACTGTTTATGGTAAGGTCTAACTCTTCATTGGTGGCCTTGCCGCTCTTGAGTTGCTGCAGATGGGCCTGAAGATAGGATCGCGTTTCTTGCTTGGCCTCTCGGGCGATGTTCCAGAGCTGCTTCTTGTCTTCTTTGGGCGTGTCGCTGCTCTTAAGCTTCCCGAGGGCCTCCGTTGCCGCCTCTGGATGCTTATGCAACTTCTTGAAAATCGTTTCACCATGATACTCGCTGATCACCGCGATCATGTTCGTGAACTGAGTGGTCCAGCTCGGCGCCTGTGGTGCCGCCGTCGCCATCTCCAGGCTGGGTGGTTCAGTGTCGTCCACAGCAGCCAAGGTCCAGACCCATCCTTCTCGTGTCTGCGCCCTCCTTGACTGCGGGCCCCACCGCGCGCACCCCGCAGATCACCTCCATGAGCGCCAGGCCCAGGCTCCAGATGTCCGCTGGGAAGGGGTCGTAGGGGGGGTCGTCCAGCAACACCTCTGGGGCGGCGAAGGGCACAGTGCCGCAGGGGCTGTAGCACATCTTGCTCTCCTCCTCGATGACGATGGCGAGGTCGAAGTCGCCCAACTTGATGGTGACGGTTTCGGGCGTCTCATTGACGATGACGTTCTCCGGCTCGATGTGTGTGAACTGGTTCATGGTGCGGTGACCGAACTCTGGATTACCGTGCCCGACTCAAGTTCACGTGCTCACTGAGACCTCAGGTAACTTGTCGTATTGATCTTGATTGAGATAGAAGCGTTCATCAACTCCATGTCGTTCTTCTTCCGTCACAATGCCCGTGCGCGCAGTGCCAGCAAAGTGCCTGATCCGCTTGCTGTCCATGCCCTGGCTGTGAAGGACACACAAGGGCCGTCGACAGGCAAACCTCATGGTGAAATTCCGCTGCATGTCGAAGAAGAGATGATGCCGTATTTCGCTGTCCTTGGCGCCCGCGTTGTACTCCTCAATAAACTTGGCGTGCGTACTGTATCTGAGTGTCGAGACTTGTTGCCAATCTCCCAATGTCGTTTCGCCCAACTTCCAGCGCCCTGGGCACGCTTTCAATGCGTGTCTCCATGCGACGATTTGTTCTCCTTCCGATCTTCGCAAGTCAATGTCTCTTCCGCACCTCTCACAGCTCAAGACAGTGGACAGCGAATTGTCGAACTGTTCTCCGGCTCGATGTCACGGTGGCAGACGCGCGCCACAGCGTGCAGGTGCCAGAACGCCTCGACGCACTGCGAAAAGATTTTCGAGACCTTGTCGATGGCCACTGTTCGCTGCCTCTCTGGCTGTTGTGCCTGGCGGGGGAGCAGGAAGCGGTGCAGGTTCTCTGGGCCTCCATACTCCATTCGGAAGAGGATGTTCGTCGGCGAGTGGTATGTCTGGTGCAAGCGAATGATGTTTGGGTGCTTCTCGTTACTCAGAGTGGTCATCACGTGGATAATGCGGTTGAGTTGCATCAGGTCTCCGATGAACATGATGCCTTCGGTGAGCATCACCTTCGCAACCTCGACCCTGTTCCCCACACCGTCCCTCTTTGTCAACTTGTAGACAGTCCCGAACATCCCCTGCCCGAGCTTCTTCCCGACGGCAAAGCCGTCAATCTCCCGCGGCACTCCGGGCTCGAGGCTGTCGTCGGCCGGACGGATATCGGGCGGCATGCGGGCCCTGACGTAGTCCCACAAGGTTGCGTGTGCGCAGTTCTGCAGGTGCTCCGCGTACTGCATCCGCGTTTGCGCCACCGCCATCATGTCGGTCAAATTCCGCGAGAGGCTCGCCGACTTGCGGATCATCGAGCGCACGGCCATGGCGAGGCGCAGCCCAGCGGGCTCGCCGCTCACGATGCCGTCAAGGCCCTTGTGCAGGAGTTCCCCCACCAGCTCGGCAGTCACGAAGTCCGAGCCGCCCCCGCCCTGGCTCTCGGGCGCAGCGGAGTGGGGCACCCAGAACATCGGCGGGGCGTCTTTGCTGCCCATGTCTATGTTCGTGATGATATCGCAGAGTCTCTTGACCTCGTCGCACCTGTTTTGGTTGCAGAACATCAGGATCTTGTGCAGCTCGGCCGACTCCTCCTGGCTGAGCAGGGGTGTCTCAACGCCAATTTCCGACTCCTCGGAGATCACTTGCCACACGTCCTGGAAGGCCTCTGGGGGCTCCAGCCTGCTCGTGCAGAAGATGCGGAGGCCCCCCTCGAAGTCGTCCTGATTCAGGTCGCGCAGGCGGGTATCCAGCCACGCCTGTGCAAGCCTTAGGTCCTTCGGCGTCGACATGGCAGCGGCCGGAGTCATAACCGACGCAGCGGGCCCTTGAGCCAAAATGGCTACGGAGGGGGGTCTTGGGCCGTCTTGGGGCCCTCTTGGGGCGATCTAGTGGGTCTCTGCATCCGTCTTAGAGCGTCGATAACGAAAAGGCGAGAACGCATGAGAACGCAAAATTCCTTCAAACATCAGGAGCACTATCAACTAGTGTGCTTCTCGGGGCCTTCTTGGGGGACCTCTTGGAGCGCGTCGATCTTTGGGCCACTCGGGGCGCTCTTGGACCGCCGAAAAGGGGCCTCTTGAGACTCTCTTTCATCATTGCGGACGTCTGATGACTCGCAACATTACACCTCATGAGGGCACCACGAGCGACTTCCCCACGACTGGGTGGGGGCGAGTGCGCAACGGCCAAGCCGACCACGCGGCCCAGACGACGGGCGGCGACGGGGCGGCGATGGCGAGTGCATGAAATTCCGGCCTGGCCACACGGCCCAGTTCCTTAAGAGCACAGGTCGGACCCCCTGCGTGCAGCAAGGACCTGGTTGGTTGGGCCCGCCGAGGCCTCGCCACGCTGCCGCCCGTTGCTGCCTCGCTGCCGCCCACCGCGCTGCCGCCCACCGCGCCCTGGCCATCGCTCGGACGCCCACTCCCTGTGTTTTTTTTTTTTCGGCTTCGCGCGTGTTTTTTTTTGCCAGCTGGTCGAAGGTCCCAGTGGCGCAGTTCGCATGCGTCCCCCCCACCCAGTACAGCGCTTCGTGGCCCCATACGGGGCTCCCCCGAATGCGATACCCACGACTGCATATGGTTGGGTCCTTCGCCAGGCTAATTTTTGCCAGCTGGTCGAGGGTGCTCCTCGAAGGTCCTCTCGCCGAGGAGAAAACGCGCACGCCCGAGCGATGCCGGGCGCCACGCTGCCGCCTCGCTGGCGCCTCGCTGCCACGGGGGTCGCCGAGGTTTCGCCGCATTCTCCTCCTCCTCCTCCTCCTCCTCCTCCTCCTCCTCCTCCTCCTCCTGCCTCCTCCCCCTCCTCTCCTCCTCCTCTCCTCCTCCTCCTCCTCCTCCTCCTCCTCCTCCTCCTCCTCCTCCTCCCCCTCCTCCTCCCTCCTCCTCCTCCTCCCTCCTCCTCCTCCTCCCTCCTCCTCCTCCTCCTCCTCCTCCTCCTCCTCCTCCTCCTCCTCCTCCTCCTCCCTCCTCCTCCTCCCTCCTCCTCCTCCTCCTCCTCCTCCTCCTCCTCTCCTCCTCCTCCTCGCTCGCACCCACAGCTCGCACCCCACAGCTCGCACCCACAGCTCGCACCTGGGCGACGAGCCCAGGGGGGAAATGAGAAGGAGAAGGCCTTCTCAGAAGGCCGCGGGACTTCTTAGATGTCCGGGGGACTTCTGAGAGGTCTCCATCGCCTATTTCGAATGCAGACTGAACTTCTCAGAAGCCCTCTCAGAAGTCCGGAAACTTCTCAGAAGCCTCGGAAGTCCCGCCCCTTCTCATTTCCCCCCCGCGCCCGCCGCCGAACCCCACAGCTCGCACCGCACAGCTCGCACCGCACAGCTCGCACCCCACAGCTCGCACCCCACAGCTCGCACCCCACAGCTCGCACCACGCAGCTCGCACCCCACAGCTCGCACCACACAGCTTGCACCACACAGCTCTTTTTGTTCAGCGCCGGGCCTTCGAGGTGTGAGTCGCCGTGCCGTTTTTCTATCGCCTCTCTGGTCAGCGTCTGTCTTAGAATTTGGGCTTCAAACTTCAAACGCGCCCGTGAATGCGGACGGGGCAACTCGACGGCAGAAACGAAACAGATCCGCTGCCCCTAGTGGGGGCTTGCACCACATAGCTTGCACCACTTAGGCGTGCTTGCCAGCACGGACAGCATGGTTCACACCACTGAGCTCGCACCGCGTGGCTGTCACCTGCAGACGCTGCACAAATTACACGGCACATCGTGCACCCCATACATTGCATCGCACAGGTTTCACTTCAATACCTCACACCACGCAGCTTACGTGCACCACACAGCTTGCACCGCATAGCTTTCACCTCCAGTGCAACAAGTCACTGTTCGGGGTGCTAAGACAAACATTTCTGCACTATGTATGGGTAACTCTCTCTCTCCCTCTCTCTCTCTCTCTCTTCTTTCTCCTCGTCAGCGCGCCCCGTCACGCGATGGGGAAGACGGCGTTACGCCATGCGGCATCATGCATCCACCCCCGACCCAAGGATCCGAGAGAACCGAGGCGGTGGCACTTGCATGCGGCCCACGGTCCCCGTCACGGCCTTGCGGTGGTTGGCGCAGTAGCTGTGCTGCTTGACAACCGCCCACTGGCGCCGCACGCCCACCTCGCGAGGAGAAGCAGGAGCAGCAGGAGAAGCTGGAGCGGGAGGAGCAAACACGAAAGCAGGAGGGGCGGCGTCCAGGGTTGCCGACCCGTGGCCCTGCTCTCGTTGCCGTGGGGGGCAGAAAGGTTCCTGAAGGAGACCGGTCCTGGAGCCCTGGGGATTCCCCCGAGAACAGAATTCCATCCCGAGTGACTCACTTGCTGACGGTCCTGGGGCCCAGGAAGGCCCCAACGGGCCGAAGACCGCAGGATGTCAGGACCCGTTGCCAGCAGGGTCCGCTCCTCATGAAGAGCGCGCCGAGGTCGTGGAGGCTGGTGCGCGGTGCCCGTACCTGCGCTTGCGCCTGGCGTGAGGATGAAATGACACCACGACATCTTTTCCCACAAGGGGGATCGAACAGAAACGACCCTGGCTCTCGAGAAACGGGCGCTCCGAAAAAAGCATCGATTCAACAAACAAGCTTGTCAGAATACGCAATGAGACCTTCCCCCAGGGCAGTTGGTCAACAAAGGCGCTTTTGCAAATTACTTAAACCCACCCTTCTCGAAACCCGTCTGGCCTGGGATGGGATCCCGACTGCTCAAGCGGTAGTTATGGCTCCTGGGAAGACCCCCCCTCCCCGAAGCTCGGGATCCACCAAAGGGGGGGTGACCCTGAGGGGGGGCATGAATTCGATCCGTTGGTGCACTCAACTGCAGCAAACAGACGCCCCCCGCATGCCCCACCAATCGTCAATTATCGGGAGCTGCCGGCGGCTGGGGGGCATCTGCTTTGGGCGGCTCGATGCAGTCACCGATCGAACTCCCGCCCTCCCTGGGGCACACCCGCCTTTGCTAGAAGAAGAAGAGGAATAATAATAACAATCATACGTACAACTAATCATAAGCATAGTCATAATAATAGTGATAAGTATCAATAGTCATAAGACTAATATTAATACTAGTAATATTATTTTTACAATAATATTAAGGATATTAACAATCCTACTACTAAGAGTACTAATGGTAGTAATAGAAATAGAATGATACTAATAACAAAAACACTCCTCCTCCTCCTCCTGCTCCTCCTTCTGCTCCTCCTCCTGCTCCTCCTTCTCCTCCTCCTCCTCCTCCTGCTCCTCCCCCTCCGCCCAATGATCACCCATTCCTCCTCCGAAGCAATTGTTTCCGCCCCGCAAGCTCATCTCCCTCGCTCTCTCAGCCCCCCTGTACCATTACCGGTCCCCCTCCTCCCCCCCTCCTCCTTCCTCCTCCTCCTCCTCCTCCTCCTACTCCTCCTCCCTTCCCTCCCCCTCGTCGCCCGAGGGGGTCCAGCGCGCTGGCCGGCCGCTCGCACCTCGGGCGGGCGCCCTCGGCTCGAGCACCAAGGCGCCCCGGGCGGAGGCTCGAGCCGAGGGCGCCGGCCCGTGCCCGAGCTCGGCCAAGGGCTTCCCCTGAAGAAGGCGCGCCGGGGCCCCGGGGCGACGAGGGGGAAGAGGAGGAGGAGGAGGAGGAGGAGGAGGAGGATTTTTTTGACATCCACTGCCTCAGACCGCAACTAAATGGGGCAAATAGTTTCACAGTCAGCTCTGGCCCCTTTCCTCTTGTGGTCAGGATGGAGCCCCTTGCTGAGCCGCGAAAAGACCTCGCTGCGGACAGGAGGGTGGCCGACGCATGTCTTAGACAAGCGACGCAACTGCCCCCCCGTGCTGAAAGCGTGACAGGCGCGACATACACAGGCAAAACTGTGGTCGTCGAAGTCAACGACTATGCAGCTGTGGCCGAAAACACGCAATTCGACAGGGTCGATGCGGAGCTGGCGTGTGCATGCTCCAGGAGCGGGCTTCACCTGCTTGCGCGAACAGCAGTTCGGACATTGCCAAAAACGGCCCACCCAGGCCCACTCATGTGGAGGGCAGGCGGGCTTGGGTATTCTCGGCGGAGCTTCCACACGAGGCACGCCTTCGAGGTTGGTCTTAGGCCAGCGCTCGAGCAATTTGGCAGCTAATTTGAAGACGGCCTTTGCCGTGCGGATCGCGTGATCGAGATTCTCGCGATCGTCAGGATTCAAATCTACATGCAACCGCGCACCTGCTTTAGCCGCCAAGTCGGCCGCGTTGTTCCCAACAATGTGCCGACGCTCCAGGTCCGAAAGATCAGGGTCATCCGCCCTGTGGGCCTTGACCTTCTGGACCGAGCGCAGCATGTTATTAGCGTACGCATAGCTCTGCATAACCAACCCACTGTAGGGCCGATTGGCTGAAAGGCAGTTGACAAAAGACTTGCTGTATTCTCCCACGACAGCGGCACAGTCACTGAAAATGTCCGAGACACTGGTAAGGAGACTGGCGGCACTCGTTGGCGCTGCAAACTCCGCAGCGACAGACGTCTGGGGAAAGAAGCTGCCCAGCGCACCGTACATCTGAGCAAGGATCTTACCCGAAGGACCAAGACTCACAACTCCCCACCCCGAGCGGGAAAGATCCTTGATCGATGACCGCAAACAAGAGCCGTCCGTGTAAATGTCCCCTCCAAGAGCCCTCTCCCCCTCGGAAGGAACTGGTAACCCCTCGGCCTGGTACGCTTCGGGGAAGACCTGGAACACGACGCTGTCCAGGGCTTGTTCCTGAGACAGGGGACCAGGGGCCCACAAGGACGGGTGCGGGAAAAGGCCCGTCTCGCAGGCCAACTTAAAGCAAGGGCTGGGGTCCGCCGCGAGCTCCGCACGGATCTTGGCGAGGAGCCGCTCACCAACGATCTCCACTCGATCTTCCTCGCATTCAGGGCAAAACCAAAGCCTGTGCAAGATAGTGTCTCCAACCTGGCCGCACAGAAAACACTCGTCTTCTACACAGTAGCCGAGGGCGGCAGCACGGCTAAGCGGGCTGGTGGAGGCTTGGCCCATCGCGCGTGGCGGCCTTGGGGTCAAGAGCCCAGGCGCGCCAGCGTCGCGCACAAAAAGAGAAAGTCGGGAAGCCCCTGGCCTTCTTGTGGCCTCCGGGGCCCCCCCTCGCCGGGCCCGGCAAGCGTGAGCAGCGTGCTCAGGCTGACAAAGCCCGCCCTGGGGAGGGGTCGGGGCTGCGGGAGCCGCGCACGGGAGGCGCCAAGAAGCGCCGCGCACTGCGGGCCCGCCGCGTGGGCCTTCGCCCTCGCAGCTGGGAGGGGAGGGGCCCCGCAGGGCGTTCGCGGTGAGCGACTGTGTGGCATGGGCACGAAGGCTGCGTATAGGGGGCCACATGCGAACCCTACCCCCACCCCCCACCATTTCGGAGGGGGAGGGTGGGGTTCACTTCGCTCGGGAGCTCTCGAACGAAGTGAACCCCACCCTCCCCCTCAGAAATCGTGGGGGGTGGGGGTAGGGTTCGCGTGTGGCCCCCGACATTCACCCCCATCCCTCATTCTGCTGCTGCTGCTGCTACTGCTGCTGCTGCCGCTGCTGCTGCTGCTGCTGCTGCTGCTGCTGCAATGGGCGACGGCCAAAAGCGGAGGAGGAGGAGGAAGAGGAGGAGGAGGAGGTGGAGGAGGAGGTGGAGGAGGAGGAGGCGACGGTCAAAAGCGGCTCCTGCGCGAGGCGACGTGGCGACCTTTGCGCGGTGGCTCGCGCGGGCCGCCGGCGCGGCACGTTGCCTCGGAGACGAGGGCGCTCGCGCGTGACCTTGCGCGGGCAGCTTGCGCACCGATGCCGGCGCAGACGGCTCAATTTTTTTCCGCCGCTCAGGTGGCTCCCGCTGCCGTCCTCCTGCTCCACCTGCCGATGCACTGGTGCGCTCCCTGGCTCAAGGCCCGCACTGGGCGCGAGGCGGAGCTACAAATCTGGAAGAGAGCTCGGGAAACACCCAGGAGGAAGAGGGAGCTCCAGGCCCGCACTGGGCACGAGACGGAACCACAAATCTGGCAGAGAAATCAGGAAACACCCAGGAGGAAGAGGGAGCTCCAGGCCCGCACTGGGCACGAGACGGAACCACAAATCTGGCAGAGAAATCAGGAAACACCCAGGAGGAAGAGGGAGCTCAAGGCCCACACTAGGCACGAGGCGGAGCCACAGATCTGGCAGAGAACCCAGGAAACGCCCAGGAGGAAGAAGGAGCTCAAGGCCCACGCTAGGCACGAGACGGAACCACAAACCCCAAGAGGCTTCAGGAAGCCCCAGGTGGGGTCCAGGAGGCCACAGGAGGCCCAGGAGGAAGCCCCAGGAGGTCACCAGGAGGTCCCAAGAGGCTCCAGGAGGCCCCCGCAACTCGGAGCTCTGAGACGCCGCGCTCGAGGTGGTCCGGCCCGTTTCGCCTGAGACTTCCTCGCAACACGTTTCGCCCGAGACATCGTCGCAACTCTGGGGTCCGAGATGCCGCGCGCGAGGTGGTCCAGCCCGTTATTACGCCTGAGACATCCTCGCAACTCTGGGCTCCGAGATGCCCTGCGCGAGGTGGTCCGGCCCATCTCGCCAGAGACATTCTTGCAATTCTGAGCTCTGAGATGCCGTGCGCAAGGTGGTCCGGCCCGTTTCGCACAAGACATTCTCGCAACTCTGAGCTCTCAGATGCTGCGCAAGAGGTGGTCCAGCCTGGGGGGCCAGAAAACCACATGTTACATATCCCCCCTGGGACCCTGGGAGCCCCAGGAGGCCCCAGAGAGCTCCAGGAGGCCGCAGGATGCACAGGACAGGCCCCAGGGGTCCACAGGAGATTCCCAGGAGGCTCCCAGGAGATTCCCAGGAGGCCCCCTATCAGAACGTGTCAAATTAATACACATCTGGTGTCGATTCGTTGATTTTTCCTGCTCTTGTGGCAGATATCATATCCCCCCTGGGAGCCCCAAGAGGCTTCAGGAAGCCCCAGGTGGGGTCCAGGAGGCCACAGGAGGCCCAGGAGGAAGCCCCAGGAGGTCACCAGGAGGTCCCAAGAGGCCCCAGGAGGCCCCCGCAACTCGGAGCTCTGAGACGCCGCGCTCGAGGTGGTCCGGCCCGTTTCGCCTGAGACTTCCTCGCAGCACGTTTCGCCCGAGACATCGTCTCAACTCTGGGGTCCGAAATGCCGCGCGCGAGGTGGTCCAGCCCGTTACGCCTGAGACATCCTCGCAACTCTGGGCTCCGAGATAGCCTGCGCGAGGTGGTCTGGCCCATCTCGCCTGAGACATCCTCGCAACTCTGAGCTCTGAGATGCCGTGCGCAAGGTGGTCTGGCCCGTTTGGCACCAGACATTCTCGCAACTCTGAGCTCTCAGATGCTGCGCAAGAGGTGGTCCAGCCTGGGGGCCCACATGTTACATATCCCCCCTGGGACCCTGGGAGCCCCAGGAGGCCCCAGAGAGCTTCAGGAGGCCGCAGGACGCCCAGGACAGGCCCCAGGGATCCGCAGGAGATTCCCAGGAGGCCCCCTATCAGAACGTGTCAAGTTAATACACATCCGGTGTCGATTCGTTGATTTTTCCTGCCCCCCCCGGGCCCCGACGGCCACATGTTAGATATCCCCCCTGGGAGCCCCAAGAGGCTTCAGGAAGCCCCAGGTGGGGCCAGGAGGCCACAGGAGGCCCAGGAGGAAGCCCCAGGAGGTCACCAGGAGGTCCCAGGAGGCTCCAGGAGGCCCCCGCAACTCGGAGCTCTGAGACGCCGCGCTCGAGGTGGTCCGGCCCGTTTCGCCTGAGACTTCCTCGCAGCTCGTTTCGCCCGAGACATCGTCGCAACTCTGGGGTCCGAAATGCCGCGCGCGAGGTGGTCCAGCCCGTTACTCTGGAGACATCCTCGCAACTCTGGGCTCCGAGACGCCGTTCGGGATGAAGAGAGGAGGAGGAGGAGGAGGAGGAGGAGGAGGAGGAGGAGGAGGAGGAGGAGGAGGAGGAGGAGGAGGAGGAGGAGGAGGAGGAGGAGGAGGCATGTTAAACATGCCATGCCAGCCCGCACTGGACGGGCACGCAATCGACCTTGGAAACCGCAGTCGGTCTAAAAACCCTGTTTGGGGATACTGCACTCCGGCTATAATTTTCGGTGTGGGAATGTCGCGCCCTCCGTGGCAGAACCATCGAGATCCCAGAAACCCAGGGCCCCCCCGGAGACCCGCAGGGTGCTTCTCGGCATGGGTCTCCACCGTAGCCTCCGAGGCTGACGGCGAGGGCCAGAGTGCAAACACTGCTCGGGGGACTGTCGGGCGTGGCTTAATGGGGGGGTCACAAATGGGGGGGTCAGAAAAGGTCCCCTTTCGTGCCCCTTTCGGGCCCCTCCAGAGCCCCAGGGGGCTCGTTTAGGTACCGTTTGGGTACCTTTTCGGACCACCCTCGCCACCCCCCTATTTATGACCCCCCCATTACGCGGCGCCCAAGACTGCGGGAACGCCGCAGCTTCCGCGCGCATGCACGCCGCGAGTGAACGGCCCGTAGCCAGGCGTGCGAGGTTCTCGCCCAGCGCGTGCATCTGTTGGTGTGCACGGCCCGCTTCGCTCTGGTTAACGTCGCTGGGACTGCGAGAACGCACCGTGCACTCTTCAATCTGAAATGCAGAGGCGCTCGAAGGTATGGGAGGGAAGCACGAGCCCTCCGTCTCCTCCTCCTCCTCCTCCTCCTCCTCCCCCTCCTCCTCCTCCTCCTCCTCCATCATCGCTCCTAGCTCACTGCAGTCGGCCCGTATCAGAAGGATGCGAGATACGGATGCAAGGGCCTCGGACGCCCATTCCGAAGCTCTTCCAGCGGGGCGCGGCCAACGAAAGTGGCCAAGGCTAGGTCGGGGAGACAGGCAAGGGTGCCAGGGGTACCCCTGGGACGCTTGCCCATTCTTGCTGTGCGGGTTGCGCAAAGGAAATTGGTGGGAGAAAGAGGCGAGGGAGGGAGGAAGAGCGAGCCCTCCGTCTCCTCCTCCATCATCGCCTCCCGCCGTCGACCCGCATAGTAAGGATGGGCAACCTTCCCCAGGGTGCCCTTGCATCCTTGCCTCCTCGGTCCGTCTTCGGCCACTTTCGTTGGCCGCGCCCCGCTGGAAGAGCTTCGGAATGGGCGTCCGAGGCCCATGCATCCTTATCGCGCGTCCTCATTGTACGGGCCGACTGTACCCTCACCCGATTTTTACCTAACAGCGAAGACTGATAGGTTTCTAGTGGTCTCAAAAGAGCTCACAGATCACTCCACAGGGGGGTCCGGGCAGGTGTTGGGGAGTTGCCGGGCGGCAGGGTGCCGGGCTCGTTTTTCACCAACAGTCACACACTTCGTGCTCTTCGACTTCCCAGAACTCCATTCCCAGGCCACATTCTCAATACCCGGATGCAACAGTCACACACTTCGTGCTCTTCGAGATCCCAGAACGCCATTCCCGGGCCACATTTAGAATAACCGGATGCAACAGTCACACACTTCGTGCTCTTCGAGTTCCCAGAACTCCATTCCCGGGCCACATTCTGGAGGGCTGGATGCAACAGTCACACACTTCGTGCTCTTCGAGTTCCCAGAATTCCATTCCCGGGCCACATTTTGGATGCCCGGAGCCAACTGTAGGCCACTTCGTGCTCTTCGATTCCCAGAACTCCATTCCCGGGCCACATTTTGGATGCCCGGAGCCAACTGTAGGCCACTTCGTGTCTTCGAGTTCCCAGAACTCCATTCCCGGGCACATTTTGAATGCCCGGAGCCAACTGTAGGCCACTTCGTGCTCTTCGAGTTCCCAGAACTCCATTCCCGGGCCACATTTTGAATGCCCGTAGCCAACTGTAGGCAACTTCGTGCTCTTCGACTTCCCAGAACTCCCATTCCTGGGCCACATTTTCAGCAGGGGCAAGAGCACGACGAGGAGGAGGACGAGCAAGACCAGGAGGACGAGGACGAGCAGGAGCAGGACGAGGAGCAGGAGGAGCAGGAGAAGAAGGACGAGCAGGAGGAGGAGGAGGACGAGCAGGAGGAGGAGGACGACCAGGAGGAGGAGGACGACCAGGAAGAGGAGGAGGAGGAGGAGGAGGAGGAGGGGGAGGAGTACCAGGAGGAGGAGGAGGAGGAGGAGGAGGAGGAGGAGGAGGAGGAGGAAGAGGAGGAGGAGGAGGAGGAGGACGAGGACGAGGAGGAGGAGGAGGAGGGGGGGGGAGAGTACCAGGAGGAGGAGAACGAGGACCACCAGGAGGAGGAGGAGGAGGAGGAGGAGGAGGAGGAGGAGGAGGAGGAGACACCAGGAGGAGGAGGACGAGCAAGACGAGGAGGACGAGAACGAGGACGACCAGGAAGAGGAGGAGGAGGAGGAGGAGGGGAGGGGGAGGACTACCAGGAGGAGGAGGAGGAGGAGGAGGAGGAGGAGGAGGAGGAGGAGGAGGACGAGGAGGAGGAGGAGGAGGAGGACGAGGAGGAGGAGGGGGGGGAGAGCACCAGGAGGAGGAGAACGAGGACCACCAGGAGGAGGAGGAGGAGGAGGAGGAGGAGGAGGAGGAGGAGGAGGAGAGAGCACCAGGAGGAGGAGGACGAGCAAGACGAGGAGGACGAGAACGAGGACGAGCAGGAGGAAGAGGAGGAGGAGGAGGAGGAGGAGGAGCAGGAGCAGGAGAAAGAGGAGGAGGAGGAGGAGGAGGCAGGCTGAGGCTGAGGCTGTGACTGCGACTGCCGTTGCCGCTGCGACTGTCATCGCGAATGCGACTACGACTGCGAGAACAGCAGAATTCGACAACTGGATTTTCATTTGAATCTTAAGGGGAATGCTTTCAGATATGCTTCTACACATCGCTGTTAGGTTGCTTTGCCGGGATAATATCCTCTCCCTGGCCTCGCCTTCCTCGGCCACATCTTGGGGCCCTGGAGGAGCCCCAGAGCCTCGCGCTCCCTCTGCTGGCGTCGCCGGTGTCCGGCCCCTGTCGAGCACGGTTCCCTGACGTCGGTTGCCACTGCGGTGAGTACGGGAGCCACAGTCAGGACGGGGAACAAAAAAGAACACAGACACAAATCATCGTCGATCCCCTCGAAATTATAGGAAAATGTTGGAACAGTTGTTCGCATCCCCTCTTCCCCTTCCTCCTCCTCCTCCTCCTGCTCCTGCTCCTCCTCCTCCTCCTCCTCCTCCTCCTCCTCCTCCTCCTCCTCCACCGGCTCCCTGCATCCGTGCCTGCTCGTCCGC